TGTAACCATGGCAATCAGACGATATACGATAGAATGAATGTAAGACTAATGTTCTCCCATGTAAACTATCACATAATTCACAATAAAACATTTAAGAGAAAAAAAAAATTCCTTTGACACAGAGCTGCGTATACCCTCATCTCAGTTCCTTAGTCTACCCAAACATCAAACATTTCCTGTCTACATGCAGGCTTCTGCATGCAGCTTCTGCTTCCCAGAACTAAATCACATTTTGACCAATGTGCACAAGAGAGATGGGGTGGAATATGTATGTAACATGATTGCTTGACTACCCACTAACAACCAACTGGATGTTACCTGACTGTTAGCAACTGAGATCCTAGAGCACACCTGACAAGGGAACTTCATTTACCCTCCCTGGGGTAACAAATGTATGCTATAGGGCAATTATCTCAAGCCAAGACAAAACAATTTAATTCTAGCTATTTTCCATAAAAATATTTATGCCCAGTTTCAGCATGAGCAGTCAACTAAGAAACTACTGTCACAGGGATGGGCAACTTAGACACTGGCTACCTAAAATGAGGGCGCGATAAAGGCACGAAGTGACTGGCTTACAAAGTTTCAAGGGGTAGTTTAGTTTAATAGTGTGTGTGTGGGGAAAAGAGTCCCCACAAAATAGTTTTTCTCTTGTCTAGATGGGTCTGGTTAAAAGAGATGGGGATACGATGGAGGTACGATTCTTATGATTCAATAGTGAGTAATTGTTATCATGACTAATTGCAACTGTCACAACTGTAAAGGTGTAAGTTTTGTAACAAAAATGGGGGAGTAGTTAAACTTATAGTCCAGAAACAAAGGACCCTAGGACCTTGAAGGGAGAAGAACACAAGTGGAATGTGAGACCTTATCCAGAGAAGCAGCAACACCAGAGATGGAGGCAGAGCTGGGGAGGGACATGGAGAGAAGGAACAACTGAGGACTCTAGATTCATGGGAAGAGAGGGACTGAGAGCTGGCGGCCAGGAGGCAGACTTGCAGAATATGCCCTTTGGTGGTATAAATTATTATATATGCCTGAGTAGTTTTTGTTTTGTGTTTTAAAAAAGAGTTAAAGTGAATAGAGAGAAATACTGTTAATTGATGGCACATGGAGGGGATTATAATCATTGTAATGAAACAAGGTGTATGATTTGTTGAATGTAAAATTGATGATCTGCCCTATAAACTTTCACTCAATCCACAATAAAAACCTTAAAAAAAAAAAAAAGAAAGCCAGGCATCTTAACATTATTCCCCCCTTTTCCCCATTCATCCCTCCCTTTTCCAGTTCAC